AATGTTCTTAGGAATAATTCCAGACAGTAAATGGACTGATTTCCAATATTTCGTTAGACTGTAATTGGATTTTCTATCGTGTCAGTTCAATTCGATTCCAATAGACGTACGTCGGACGCATTTCCCGATTTTAATATAAAAACACAATAATTCTAGGTGAAAATGGTCTATTAAAAAATGATAAATGGAAATACAAATAATACCTAACGAAATTTACGCCTTCCAATTCAAAATTACTCTGAACGAGTATCAATGTTCTGAGGTCTAGGTGAACTCCTATACTGCACGATGTCGAATCCAAAAATGTGGCGGTAGCCATATTATATCAAATTTAAACAACATATGTACAGTTCAGAAGCAAAAATAAAAACTTCAATATAAGTACAAAATATGGAAATAATAACAATATACAATGATAAAATCTCAAATTGGAATCAAATGAAAATACCAAAAATGTCAACAGAAAAAGTCCGTCATGTCATAACAAAAATATGTAAACATGGAGGGATTTTCCAAAAAACAAAACATTCAAAAAGGATTCTACAATAAGAGTTATTTAACTTCCGCTGATGGATCCTCCAACGCGAACCACCCGGTTTAAGCCCCTACCGGACATTCGCCTTTCATCTCTTTAATTTCGTAAACAACATCTGTGCCACAAGAAACCAATGTTTTGGAATTCCATAGCAATAGATATAAACACGTTGACATATGAGAGCACTTAGAGATAAGTAGATGTCTTTCCCCACTCTCAGCCGTACTAGGCCATTTAAAGGCTTTCATTAAACAAAACTATGTAAGAATCATAACAATTTATTTAAATCAGTAATAACTATTCATAAGTCCGACCGGAACCCCTCTAGGATTACTGCCGTTCTCAAGTCTGGATCATGGAGGAGGGTAAGACATGGGGGTTGGCGATCACATCCTGTAGAAAACTAATTCACTGAGAGAACGTTAACCAGAAACTGGTCGGCAGCCTATGCTCCACTGCGGGTAATAGGCTTAAGTAAATAGGCAATGACTATTCTCATGAGAAGAAATACAGTTCGAAGAAAGAAAGGTTCCAGCATTCGCATGCTAGATCCTCAGTTTGAAATCTTGTTTTCACATTTGTGGATGCACACTGCTAATCAGTCCGATAATACTAGGACGCAACGATTGTTCAGTGCTTACAAGTTTCTAAATAGTAGTAGTTCTTACCATTGATTAGTTCATGATTTAAATCAACACGAATTACGGAAGTGTTCAATCATTCAATCAATATCCACAAGAAACGTGGCAGCACTGAAAGACAGCTGTTTCGTTCTGATATGGGACTGGCTAACTAAGAGTGTGCATGCACTTTTACTCTTGCTAGTCGCAGAACTCAGACCCAGGAACCTTCGATCTTGCGCGTGAACGCTTAACCTCTGGAACACTGGATATGCATGCAAGAGTGTTAATGTCTAACTCTGATCAATTTCAGCATTTTTGCGCTACCTCACACTCATTGTCTTCGGTAGTCACTGACTTCACTCGACAAGGTTGAACTCCACTGATTGTGATTCATGATTTCAGAAATAAAACAAAGATCTCCATAATTTTATAATGAAAAATAATCATTACTATTGAATTCGTTAGATTAGTTTCTGTTCGAAATTATTATTCTCGGTCAATCAATTCAGTCAGTCACAACAGAGTAATTCGTACATACGTACATAAGTTAAGGTTGCAATACCGCATTGACACCGAGACGCAACTATCAGTTCAAATCTCATAGTGGTGGAGATAGTAGAAGAATAGGCGGTAAAAGAGAATAATAAGGATCGAAGAAATTATTCAACATGTCTCCTGGTAGAAGTGAGGTGTGTCGATGCATCTGCATGTTCTTAAGTTTCGTAATAAGCTCGTTCAGACTACCTTATCCATATGACGTCTGACGGTTAATAAATCAGAAGATGAATTCCAAGTATCGTATACGTTTATTGTAGCACACCACAAATAATAACAGCAGACCACAGACAGACCGGGCAGACAGACTAGCGAGCGAATATGCGAATGTGCGAATGAGCGGAGCGAATCGGAGAAGGCTAGTGCGCCAACTCTTTGGATTACAATGCGAGCGAATGAATAAAGCGAATAGGAGAAGGCTAGTGAGCCAACTCCTTGGATTACAATGCAAGCGAATGAGAGAAGCGACGTGGAGAAGGCTAGTGAGCCAATTCAAAGAGATAGAGTATGACTAAGAATATATAGTCCGATAAAAATAAGACAGACATATGACAAGCGAAATAGGTATGCACACACATGAATAAAAGCGACGAATGATTGACAAGGTCAAATGACAAGCGATACAAATCATGTGAGTTCATGGGAAAATTAAGAGAATAACATTAAAGCGAAAAGGATGAGTAAGTGCGTAAGCGTAAGCAATGCTCAGTCGTATAAGCTCATACAAACCAGATAATAAAAAATACCAATGGTACATACAGGTTGTTGCTAAGCGAATGGCTTGGTTAAATAAATTAATCGAAAGGGCTTAAGCAAATTAAATGTAAGCGGATGCAAATAAATGTGGAGGCACTACAAAAGCCCCCTTCCAGCAAACAAGGATACGAAAGTGTCTGTGTTTGCAAAAAAAAATCAAAATAGTCGGAATGCATCATAAGGTACGAAAATTAAAGTTACCTTGTCCGAGTACGTTCGTAAGTTCGCATAGTAACAGATCAAAAATATGTGGTAAGCGGGTATTAGCAAAAATAATCGATTTCAAATAGAATACAATAGGACCAGTTGTACGATACGAAAATGTAATACAAATGCTGCAAAACATTTAATATCGTTTAGGCATGACAGTTAAGACGGAATTCGATAATCGCATAGACATTACGGTAAGGCTCATCGATAAATCGAGTGGCTGCACATAGGTGAAGAAATTGCGGTCGAGATTATCGTGAAAAAATTTGGAGAATAAAGCTGCGTACAGATGCGATGCATGGACATTAAATGCATATCGAAAACATAAGTTACTACCATTGAGTATATGACTCCAAACTTATGTGTATGATAGCGTTGCAAACCGTTGCCAGCGTTGGCGTAGTCGAAAAACATGCTAATATCAGCGTGCAGGAGGTTCGCTCGACTGCTTAAACTGCTGTTTCGTGTGCATGTGCGTAAGATCATACCACCAATTTACTTAGCAGGCTGCAAGATTTTCGAGTACGAGCAGCTGATGAGTACATAGAAGATATCTCCAATGCGATAATCGTATAGCCACGGAAATATTAATGGACCATAATTGTCGTTGAGCCGTTGCTTTGATAAGCGATTCGAAACATAATAATGCGATACGGCAATATAAATGGAATGAACTCACCTTAATCATGAACGCCGTTCGTGGTATCGAAAGAAGTAAAATAATTCCGTGAGTTACAAATGTCCTGCCGTGAATACAATATTCGAACTGCGATTCGAATAGCGATTAAGATATTTCCATTATTGTCATAATATCATGATTAATCACAACAATGATTCTTTCACATTAATACGATAATGATAGCGATAATTGGATAATTCGAGAAATGGATTCATGCAGCGAGTTAATAAATCATCAAAATGATAATAAGATAATACGATTTTTGTATGTGCATATGACCGCTGAAGTGAGTTAGCTGCTTTCGTCCGATGAGAGAGTGCGTTGTCTGTGTTGTATATTGAATCTGATTCGATCAGCGAATTCAAACATTTTCCTGAGCTGCTTTGTCGCTGTATGGCGTCGGGATTTCCAGTTAGTGGTTCTGTTCGATTTGTCCTCGAAATTACCAACTGGTTGGTTATATTCGATTTGTCATCGGAATCGTCGAATTATGTAGTGAGAGTTTACTGATCTTCTGTGAAGACGTATGGACGAATGAATCGAGCGAAGCAAATAAGGAGTGATATGAATGAACGACGGCTTCACCATTTTGTACGGTGGCCGATTTTGCTGACGTCGGGATAACCATTTTGTAGTGCACTGGCGAGCGAATGCACGGAAGAATGATTGCGTTCGATTCTACGTCGAAATTACCAATTAGATGGAAGCGTTCGATTTTTCGTCAGCATCAGGAAACATCTTGAG